GGCCCTGCCGTAGGGAGCCGGCGAGGAAGGGCAGAGCGTGGGTATCGCCCCTCCGCCGGAGGGGAGCGAGGCCCGGGCGCCTCTGCTGCGGCCCTGCAGGGAGGGCGGTTCCGGGGCTGAGGAGGAGGTCTGGGTCAGGCGTCCCCGGGATTCGTTGTAGGTCTGCCCTGGTGTTGGATCTCCTCGCGGATCCTGGTGTTTGGCCGAGTGCTGTTAAGCGCAGGCCGTGGTCCCGCAGCTTGTGCGGAGCGAGGACCCGGTGGCGCAGGCCGCGGTTGGGGACGCGGCTTCCCTCCTGAGTAAAATGGCCCAATATACACCCGAGCGAAAAGGTCCGTGGACGTTCGGATCTCTCTGTTCCGTGCGGCAGTGAGAGTCTTTGTTGTCTAAATTGTGCTAAGCATCCCGGGGAGACTTATGTTAAAATTCTTACCTTCAATGTGAAAATAGTGCTTTTGCGAGGAGAAGTTTTGAGTGAAATGAAACTTACAGTGTTTTTTAGCTGCCTCATACATGGAGAAAAAAAAATAAGCAAAGCATTCCTAGGGATTCGTGCTGTATTCTAGTAGCAGTTAAATTGATAAACAGATTTTCCAAACTTTCCTGATTCACTTCCTTCACTAGCTGTAAAAATGAGTCATCAGTAGGTTTCAGGGTGCTGAATCACACATAAGAAAAGGACTCTTCTTAACTTCTCTCACCTGTTGCACCCAGGTGGGTATTGTGGTTTTCACTTTGCTTTATTAGCAGTAGTAATCTGTATAGATAAGTCAATTTTCTTCATGGTGAATATATAAGATTTTATCGATAAAAATGTAAATTGACATCCTAATGTACTCAAAGTAATTTAGATGTACATGATTGTGATCGATAAGTTGGTGTATTACTGCTAGAGAAAAAAGATGCGTCTCGTCTCCTTGAGGAATTACTGTGAAATAAATAGATGTGGGTTTAGAGTGCAGTAACTTCCTCACTGAGCTGAGCTATGCTTCAGAAAGACCTGCTGTAGATACTCTTAATATCACACCGGTAGGTAAATGCAGAACATGAATGACATTTCTTTTAGCTGTTTTCCCATGAAAATAATCTGTAACATGTCCACATCTTTCAGTAAGTCACTCTCCAAGCTCTTGTACGCTAGTACAAGAGGGCAGGGATTGAAGCCTGATGCTCTTCCCCTGCTCCTTTGCACAGATCTATGCTCTGATTTTTCCCAGGTGGGAGTTTGTCTATAGCAAAGGCTGATGCAGCATCACTGCCTGCTGCCTTCCCGAGAGGCTGGGCTGCGGGTCACCTTGGGCATGTCTGGGGTTGGGTTGTTGGTAACAAGTCTGTTTACGCTGGTAGTTTTGGTTCCTTGACTGGACTTCACGCTTCCTGTACTTCCTTGTGAAATATCTTCCAGTTGATCATTTCTGAAATTTCTGGAGCTGGAGACTGAAACCCTCAGTAGCATTCTTGAAAAATCATTTTGTATTGTTCAGTTTTTGTGCTAACTCTGCAATATGTGTACCAGATACGTATTTGTGTTGCACCAGCATAGCCTAAGTACCCATTTTTGTTGGTCCCCTGAAGCCAGCCAAGCATGGGTCATCTTTGTGCTAGGCTGCGAATATGAAACAGGGCTAGTCCTGCCTTAAATAAGAATATGTACAGTCTAGGACTTTCCTAGCGCTGTCTGGGGTATCAGTGTGCTTTTTGTTCTTTTTCTTACCACTAAGAATACAATCTTAAGTGGGAAAAAGGGGAATAAACCACTTGCTGATTAATAAGACTGTCTTCAGAGTTTCTGTGTGCTTGAAAAGTATTGGGTTAATGACCCTGAAAGAACAAATTTAAGTAAGATTGGATGAACTGTGGAAAAACACTGACTTTTGCAGAAATTTTGTGAAAACATTTTCTATTTTCTCTTTTCCAGTTGAGAAAGCTTTTTAGACAGTTTGAAATGTTTCAGTGAGTTTTATGGAACACAGCAACCTTAGAAGGGAAAGGCAGGGAGGCAGGTCTTGCTGAGCAGACCAGCAGGGGTGATATTGCAGGAGTCTATCAGTCATACGCAGGGAGAGTGATAGCTTCTTCTTGTGCAATATTTGTCCAATATCTTACTCACAAGGGCAGCAGTTTTGAGTCAGTGCTTAGCACAGAGTCTAGCAGGATATGCTGTTTGCCATGATGCCAAAGGTCTGGCTCCCTCATTTAGTAAAAGCAATAGCTTCCAGGGCACGCACTTTCTCTCATATGGATCTTCTTCATAATGCCACAGCTCAAAAAGGCTTCTAAATATTCAGGAAAGTACTATTATTTGTTTAATTTTTCAGGGGGGACGAGGTGGTTCTTACGTTCGACTACTACCATGCTTTGCTCTGTGGTCTGTGCAGCAGGCAGGCAGCTCCTAGCTCAGTACAAGAGGTTACAGACAAGTGCTCTACAATCATGTCAGGAATGTTGCCTTGGGCAAAACATAAGAAAACTTCTCTTAAGTCAGTTTTGAATGAATCTGGTACAGGATAAACGTGTTTTATCCAATTTAAGAGCTGGAAAAGCACCAGCCATTTGGTAAGAGTGATCCCCAGGCATTAGAGCAGAGCAGCTTCGGAACTGGAAGGCACTGAGCAAATTGGTTTGTAACCAGTTCCACACTGGCTGATGAGGGTGCCTTTAGTCCAAAGATTGGTTGTTTTTTTTTTTTTTTTCCCCTGCTTTAAATCTTACTGACAATAGAAGCTACTTAGACATTTTAAGGTGTGTGCCTTGCAGGGGAGAGAAAATATGCCAAAATGGAGCAACAAGCCATATAAACACAGAAGTGGCTGGGATTCCGTAATTCTGTACAGCATTAGTGAAAAGGGGAAAGTAATATGGACAGAGCACGTGTCTCGTATACTGGTATATCAGAGTCGATTCTGTCCTTATCCCGTTTCCCTTTTCACCGATGCCTGTTGCAGTGGTGGCTGTTGGCCCCTGCATTCAATTTGAGGATGCTTCTCTGTTTTAATAACAGCAGTATCCTTCCGGGAAGGGCACTGTGCGCTAGCCTGGCAGTGACTATTAGGTGTGCCGGGATAACCCTGAGTCTAGCTCCATGCTGCAGAGGGAGTTAAGATAACGTGTGTGTCCCTGCTGAGTTGCTCTGGGGAGAAATTCCTGCCATAAACCTAGCCTGAAGGTGCGAACATGCCAGAACGTGTGAGCAAGAGGCACCAAGATACCCAGCACTTAATCGCTTTCTCCATATTACATGCTGCCTGGTCACCATCTGTAGCTCTGACCAGTCCATAGTTTTGTCCGTGTCTGCTTGAAAGGAAGAGGTAGGGGAAGGGAAGAGGACAACAAATAACAGTAACTGTGTATCTCACAAAAGGAAAAAAAGTTATTTAATGGTCCCTTCAGAGTACAAGAAAACAGAACTGGTATTAAATTCCACAGCCAAGAGCTGCCTGCATTAGCGTGCACTGATTTTTTTTCACTTCTAGATGAGGCCTTGCTGTAATAAAGCTAAACATATATGGGGTCAAGATCTTTCTTTATCTCTGCTCTACAAATGATTAATCCAAGGAATGAAAGTAATCACATCCCATGTCTAAGAATCATTTCTTTCTGTCCTTTAATTGTGTTATTGCGATCCAGGTCAAGAAAGAAGCATTCTTTATATTAGGGAGGGGAAGGAGAGTGAATAGCTTTGAGATCAAATGTACATAAAACAACATGTTCTACCTCAGGTAAAGTGAAAAAGATGCTTTTCTTTTTTTCTTCTAAGTTCCTTCTTTCTCACTGAAGGTGAACTGGGAATCTGGGAGGAGCCGGGAGGGTGGCTGTCCACAGAGTCCCTGCCCCTGAGCGAGGTGGCTGGCTGCAGGATACACCTGCCCCTGAGTGCTTGTCACAGCCACTGAGGCTCCTGGCGCGGGGCGTGCTGAGGCCAGGCTCCGCTTTTCCGGCAGGAGGCAGCCAGGTAAGGAACTGGTGCTGGGGATCGCCAGCAATCGGGGCTGCACCACGCTCTGCTCGCTGCTGTGACGCTGTGGTTTCTGCACCGTTTTCTAGGGCTGCTTTCTGCAGCAGAGTGGCAGCGCAGTCACCAGTGGCTTAGCACCGGGGAGGTGCTCGCCAGTGGGGGCCCACGGGGGTCTGAGCAGGGGCTGTGGCAGCTCTCTGCCAGCGGGGCTGGAAGGGGGCTTCGCGCGTGCCCATGGGGAGGTACCCTGCTTCTGCCGGCCCCGAGGTGAGCAGCCACCTGGAGCGGTGCCGCTTGGCACATCACAGCTTCATCTGCCCGCTCGTTGTGGAAGAGAACCCTAACACACTGACAAGTTATGCTATTATGATTTAGCTATATTTTGTCTGAAAAAAGTATTTAGTTTGTGTGAAATTATTTGACAAGCAATTTGAAAACAGCATATGCGGATTTTAAAGGGCTAGAAAAACACTCTGAAAAATTTGATTCCAATTGATTTGGTTAAAACAAAACAAAACAACCCCCCCAGCTGTTTCCTAGCTTCTTAGTTGATTTGCTAGGATGTAGTCAATAGCTTTTGTTTTCCCTCAGGGTCATCTTAAATGGTGGATGCACAAATAGTAATGAGATGACCATATCCTAACGGGAGGTTAAGCTAGCAATTACAAACAGAACAATGCTTTTTTTTTTTTTTTTAAATAGCTCAACAGCACTGTGTATCTTTAAAATATTGTTTATTACCTAAAAGTATCATATGTGTAATTTTATAAGGTTTTCTAACTGAACCTGTGAATGAGACTCCTGTAACCGATACCTCTCATTAAAGTATAATTTGAAGCTTGCATTTAAACTGCATAGGTGTCCATTACAAGTACAGAATAAATAAACTTTCTTTAAGGCCAAACTTTCGAACTGTTCTGGTAAACCTGGTGTAATAGACTGCCTTCTGTTGAAAGTGGAAAAATAATTCCAAACAGGTATGCTTGAAAGTTACTACTTTTTTTTTTTTTGGGGGGGTAGCCAAAGGTGTTCTCTGAATACTGGTAGCTGATAATGTTAGTTAATAGAAAGACTTTAAGGGCTTGTTTTTCAAAGCAAGATTTAGTCCTGTTACATGCAAAGAATGCAGTAGTTTAGAAATTCGCAAGACTGACTTGCACTGGTATGAAGCGATGAGCTAATGCCTTAGCATTTTTTTCATGATGATCATGAGATGGTTATAATGGTTTTAGCTTTCTGATTGTTCCTTTTCACCCAACCAACACTCAGTTTTCCTAAAGAATTAAGCTGACAGCCTATGGTCAGAGGTAAGAAAAGCAAAACAACAAAGCAGCAAAGGCAGAGAGACTTACTATCAAAGGGATCTCTGTGAAAAAGGTTAGATTATACAAAATTACTGTGCTATGTACTGTGTTAGATAATGCAAAATTACTGTGTATATGAATTATGACTATGTGGGGCCTTTGAGTGGAGGGGCAGGTATTTGTATGGTTTGGGAGAGCTGAGGGAGAGTACTATGAATTTCACAGAGTTAATGAAGTAGCTGAGCTTTCATCCACTGCCAGTAAGCAAAAACTTTGAAATGTATGCCCTAGTCCTTACCGCACTTAACTGGGCACTAAAGTTAAACTATACGTTGTGATGATTTCTTTGAAAGTTTCAGGAATGTTTATTACAAAGGTCCCTAAGCTCAGGTGAAGGAGTTACAAGAGGTCTATTAAATGGAAAGGACAGGGCAAACAAGTGAGCAGGCGCACAGCTTGGCTAAGGAGCAGATAAGGGACTGCGCTCAGCAGGCTGAAGCAGTAGCCAGAGAAGATGGGAGCAGCCAGCTAAGGGCAGAGGTAGCCCGACAGTGGGATGTTCCGCGTGCGTCAGACGGACCCTATTCTACCTGCTCCTGCCAGCCTGCCTGGCTCTCTGCAGCTCTGTTCTCACCAAGAAGGGATGGGAGGGCAGGAAAGAGCAAGGTCTGTGCACTATAGGACTAGGAAATATATTCCTTTGTGAGCTTGTGGTCCAGCAGGGTGCTGGAAGAGACAGCAGCATTGTGACCATAATGAGGACACTCTCACTCTCCCCTTTCCCCCCCCCCTCAGTTTGTTGCCTGTCATTTGCCCCTCCAGCGGTAAGCAGAGCAGTCTTTCCTGCTACTATGTGTTGACTTTCACTAGGGAGATGGCCTGTAACATAGGCACAGTTTATGTTGCTGAATGTGACTGACGGTCTAAAGTCATCGTCGTTGGCGCCTATTATTGATCCCGCTGACGTCAAGACAAACACAATGGACGGCCAGTAAGAGGCGGCATTTGTCAGTAAAGACAAGGTGCTGTAGCAGTTGGCATAAAAGGAAAGTGTCCTTCACTTCCGTGTGTGATGCACGTTTGTTTCATTGTTAATATGTCAATTTAAGATCAGGTCTTCTCAAGCATAGAGCTTGTGAGCCTGAGCCCGCAGGCTTTTTAGATTTTCTGAGAGGTTTCCTAGGTTGTTGCAGCTGT